CAAATAAAGGAAATGGAGGAGGGGGTGTAAATAAGTCAAAGGCTGGGCCATCCTGTATGCCCTCTGTGCAGGAGTGTTTTATACAGAGCTCCCAGAAAAAAAAATATAAGTTTAGCTGAATTATGTTATCAAAATTGATGCCTCAGAGAGCCTTTTTGCAGGGAATTACTCTTGCATTTGAGATGACTGCATTGCTTTCGTTGCAATCATTGCAGTCGCCTTTCAGTGCAGGACACGGGAGACTCTTCCACGAAGGCTGATGCTCTCTGCAGCAGCAGCACCACTGTAGGTGCTTCCCTTTCAGCAAGGGCCCATGCCAAGCTGCCCTCCAGCTGCATGGACACCTGCAAAACCCAGAGCCCGGCACCGCTGCTAGATGAGCACTATCCCTCTGGCAAGTTTTGAAAAAGTTTTGCTATGAGAAAACTGGAGTTAAAGCAAAGAGTCTTCACAAAGGTGGATCCTCCAAATCATCAACCAACTCATCTAACTTTTACTAGGGTAAATATGGAGCAAATAAGGGAATCGATATATAATAACGTGGCAGGTAACAAGTTGATGAGTGAGAAACTGCATGTGTCCGTCCAGGATGGATCATACCAGGCAAAATCAATAGCTGCATTTGTCAAAGCTATAGATTGATGAAGACAGCAGACATTTATCTAAATTATAGTAACTTTCAATGTGGAACCTTGTAGAAAGCCTAGAGGGAGGCCATCTACTCAGATGTTTGTGCTATTGAGTTTGAATTTACTAGTTAAAACTTTATTAGTTTGAAAGAAAATATTCTGTTTTCTGTGACCTCTGAGGAAAGCTGGCATGGGGGATTTTGGATAAATATCTGTAGAGTTGGGCAGTGTGAAGGACACACAAGAACCTCATTTCATCATGCGGCTCTCTGTTCAGCTCTAGATTTATTTTTTAACTCCAGTTTTGCACAGTTATCGATAAAGTTGTTAAATACCCTAGCATTTAATGAGGCATGGAGACTTTCAGGTGCACGTGGCACAGGGAGAGCTGACAACGCCACGCAGAAACGCGCTTATCCATCACTCTGTTGAGTGAAAGCTTTTAGATGTCATTAGCTCCAAGCAACTTTGCTAAGATGAGCATCACTTGGCATTGCCCGCCCATGAGCTCCATGGATGAAACGTGCTGCGGAGTGCAAGGACCGAATGAAGGACTAGCCTGTTAGGTGGCCATGACTGGTATGTGCGTAGGCCCAGCTGCTGTGCAGCCACCTACCTCACGAAATATATTGTCCTTGTGGGCGTTTTCCCTGAGTATTTACTTTTGGTGAACAAGAAGTTAATCAAAATGTTTAGCCTAATCATGTGCTTGGCAGTAAGAGTCAGTGTTGTTTTCTGCCTACCTCTTCGTATAGGCTTTCCCTTGAAGAGAAGAGAGGGGAGATACTGGATTTTTCTTTCCATACTGTTAAAAATGCTCATGTTAGAAAGATATGTGACACTGAAACCTGTGTGGTTATTAGTGACAGTAGAGCTCTAACCAACAGCCAACTAGCCAAAAGAAAATGAGCAACTTAACCAAAATATTCAGTGTGATTTGTTGCAGCCTGTGGCAGAAAAATCATCAGTTAAGCAAGCTGGTGAAATAGCGGGAGCTGCTACCTCGATATCAGTTGCTGATAAAGATGCAGCTTCTACTGTTTGCATGGAGAAGTTCACGAGAAAGGGAGCAGTTATTTAATTTAAATGTAGTCAGTGGCCTCTTTTCACATCAGTCATATTTATTTCTAAAGCATCTGGCACCTTGTCCCAGGACAAGTCTGCACACAGCTGTCCTGCTGGTTGTGCTGAGGAAGCAGAGCTGGCCCGGGGGAGCACCAGGGTGCGAAGCCTTCACCCAATGGGTTCTTCAGGACATGGGGTTGATTTGAGCATGGAGGGGTTTTCCTGCTCAGCCTTGGGCCTGGTACTGGGAGATGGACTGGGTTCTTTAAATAGGACCACATAAAAAATGGAATTTAAGTCTGGCTCTTTCCACCAAGTACAAGAGATCGACCCCTGATGACCTGGTAATCACCTTGTTCTGGCCAAGCTGGCAGCTGAACCACGCCATCTGTGTGTGTGTTCACATGACAGTATTGGGTTTGCTTTAACTTCTAACTCTTGTGTTTTTCTGCAAACAAGGGGAAACTGCCTATGCCCAGTTTGGAGTAGCGTCTAGGCCTCAGGCATGATGGCTCTGGAGGTCTCGGGCTCCAAAGTAGTGCTGTCCCCTTCCCAAAAGTCACCTCAGATTTCATGGTTATTTGTGAGCTTTTTAAGTGCTTACAAGTGCTTACAAGCTCCCCTGGGTTTGAATTGACCTGTGGTTTGCAGGGAGCTGGAGCACCGGGGATGGAGACCCAGCGCTCACCCCAGGAGCACCATTTTCCAGTGTGTGAAATCCCCCAGAGCAGCGCCAGGTTGGCAGCAGGAGGGAGCGGATGGGCTCCTAGGTTGGGCTGCAGAGTCCTTGCTCCAGGAAGCAGCCAGGATCCAGGTTTTTGCTCATTCTTCCCTCCAGCTCATGGCCTCGCCGGTGTGAGAAAGGAGCTGGGGAGGGTGGCTGTGACCCCGGCTGTCACCGCAGCCCATGGGCAGCGCGTGGATCCCATGGGTCTGGCTGCCCCAAGGTGTCATATTCACTCCATAAAAAGTAGCAGAATTTGCTCCTTTTCCCCCGGAAGAGGACAGGTTTGGGGGCAGAGATCCAGGGCGTGGGGGTCGGTACAAGGGGTGCGGAGGAGCCGCAGCGGGAGCCGGGATCCCCGCACGGTGCCCCATCGGCAGGAGTGCTTCAGCGTTAGGTGCAGAGCGAGCGCGGCTCTGCTTTCTTTAATGTAATCAGCAAATTACCTTCCGTAATTTACTCTGCAAGTGAGATGCCTGTGTGATCCCTCTGTATTTCTTTCTCTTTTTTTTTTTTTAATCGGTGGTTTAGCAAGCAAACAGTGGGAGACCGAGGAATTAAAGCCATAAAGTGATCTGCATATAATCACTAATTACCGTGAATCAAATACTCCTTCAGTTCAGCTGGTTATTAATTCCCTGATAATGTAATTCTCTTGGCTGCCAAAAAAAAGCTAGGAAACGCTCATTTCACTGGAATGGCAAATAATATCCTGCTGCGAGTGTAATACTTGCAGCAAGTGGTTTAGTGACCGCATAAATCCAGCTAATGAAATTTACGTAGAAAATAGGGGCTATTAAAAACGTAGGGGGGGGAAAAAAGGACACAGGACCAAGGCAGGGCTTCTTCAATGACTCTCTCGAAGCCCGTTTGGGACGTCGGTCCTGGTTGCAGCGAGAAGTGCCGGTTCCTGGCTGGGCTGTGCCGGCTGCCCGCGCTGCTCATGGCTCCTACGAAACCTTTGTAGCACGTTAGGTTTCCTTAAGGGCTTTGGAATTTTAGCCTGGAATAATCATTAAAAGGGGAGAGGGAAAATGGAAACAATATGTTTGTGTATGAGGTTTGCTGGACCTCAGCAAAGCGGGGCAGGGAGCAGGCCCTCAGCACCATCTGAAGCTTGCGAAACCCTGGGGCAGGTGATGGTGCCTTGGCTCCCTGCAGGATGACCCTGCGCCTAAAAAATTCCCCCTGCTCCTTTAACCCCGATTTATTGGGATATTATTTAATCTCTTACTGGTAGCTAATATTTAAAGTTTGTTATTCACAGGGCAAAACAAGCAGCAGAACCAGCATTGTGTCTGTCATTTTTGTTCCTTTAGTAATTTTGTTTTCTGTTTACCTATTACTTTTGTTCTGTGATGGGTGCTTCACTGTTACTACTTTGTCTTTTGAATAAGAACTGCAAATAACCAATTCTGCAACTCTCTAGTCTCCCATTCTGGCTCTGCTATCCATTATCTTCTGCTGTTTCTGTGGGTTTTTTTTGTTCTTTTCCCCATTTTGCATCAGAACAGGAAGATTGTTCTTACCAGCCGCAGATGGCAGTTGGGAACAGCGTGAAGCTGGACAAAGGCTCCTTCCTCTTTCTTTATGTTGAACCACACCACGCTGCAACAGACTTCAAGTCTTTGCTTTTAACCAACTGCTGTAAATGCAGAGAAGTAAACACTGCAATCTACGAACAAGTCAATATGGAAAACTTGATTCAGTGTCTTACAAGACGATGCAATCGATAATCTATTACACATCTAGTCACTTGCATAAACAGCCCAGCAGCCCTCCAAAGGCAGTGCCACCAGGTGAGAGGGCAGCTGCAAAGCCCAGCCACAGGGATACAAACCACTGAGATGGCAAATGCTTCTCTTTGAGTCCATTTGTAAATGCAAGTGTTCAAATTTGATGAGTACCTTTCGTCATTAGTGCATCCCGCTCCTGGTAGTGGGAGCCCAGCTGCTAAGGTAGGAAGCCGCAGCTGTGGCAGGCATTCAGGAATCCTGCCTCTGAAATCTTGACTGAGTTTAGCTCTTGCCTTTAAGGCAGGTTCAGTGCTTTGGCTGCCCCAGCTACTGGTTTGGAAACGATACTGTTAATCACCAGGGCAGTCACCCCGATCAGTAATAGCCATTTGTCAAGAACGCCTTTTGTCAAGAGCTGGGACGGGGGCAGAGCAAGCCTAAAACGCAGGTTGGATGCGGGGGTGAGGAGATGATCCACTTTAACAGGCAGGGCCTGGACGCAGGCCAGCTGCTGAGCTGCTGATGTGCCAGCGTAGGCTGTGTCTGCAGTGTCCACCAACACAACTGGATGCCTAGAGTAAATTTACAAAGTTACTGCTATAAGCAGTAGTTGCTTTGTAGTTGTTGTAGTAGCTGTTTATAAAACACCCAAATCATTCAGGCCACAAGTTCCCCATTTTTTTTAAACACACGTACTCTGATATACAATTTATTGTTCCATATGGCTCTCTGAATCAAGTGCTAAACACTTACTGTAACTTGCAGACCACATAAATCTTTGACAACCAAGGATCCCTCAGTTACATCAGTGAAAAACAGGCTTCAGTTGAAAGAACAACAACGGTGGACATTTAAAATGAACCATTTATTAAATCAAACTGTTATTTTAACAGTTACATAAGTTACACAGCATGTTTAAGTCAGAAGATTTCACAAGGAAAAAAAAATTAAACTTTAATATGCAGGCAAAAATAGTACCACACAATATGTACCTGGGAAGGAGGAAGGGGAAAGGGAATCTCTAAACATTCAAATAAGGCCATAATTATTTAAAAACAACAATAAAACAATAATAAAACCCCCAAAGATCCATTTTCCTTTCAGTGTGTTCAGTGCTGCTAACTATATGTACTTTTAGTGTACAGATGTAATCGAGGCAGTGATATCTTGATAGCTTAATGTTTTTAAAACATTATCAAAAGTGGAATAAGGCTCATTAGTACATACAGCTGCCCTTGGAATGTCAATCTCAGTTGCCTTCATTAACTTAAAATTCACAAAGTGCACAGTTAAGATATGCCAAAAAATTGAAACTGCTACTCTACCAACAGCTGCCCATGCTTAATACTTAGTGGTCTATTGGAACAAAGTATGTTCTTTCAAAAAGATGTGTAAGAAAAGCCACTGTAAAACATTTAGTTTCAAAGATGCACTAGGAGTTTTTCTGTAAACTGAAAAGTAGAAAAACATGGATTAATTATGTAAAGAAAAGAATACAAAAAACACTAGAAATGACCATCAAACCTTCAAAGAACAAGCACCACAATGGACATTAGCATTCGATTTTGCAGTGTACAGCAATGTAATAGTTTTACTCTAACCAATCCACTTCATCAAATTCTGAGTCATCTTCTGAATCACTGTATTCCACAGCAATGCGGCGAGAAAGGATAGTAGCAACATCATTCTCAATGCGCTCATGTTTAGCTTCTTGTTCACGCTGCTCTTCGACTTTGCGTAGCTGGATACCTGAAGAACATCAAACCACAGAGGTGAAACTGTCATTCTTTACCCTTACACAAAGTATAATGAAGCACAAACAACATGCACTGATAATAGGAGAAAGTTAAATGCTAGTAGCTAAGTTAAAAACATGGCAGAGATTATGTATTTGGAGGTTTACACTCATGATACCACAGATCAACACAGTCTAAATTTGATCTAAATGCTCCCTGTTGTCAACTAAGAGCAAACACAAGCACAGGTACTTAGGTGGAATCTAAGCTCTAATACATGCTTGAGATTTAGTTTCTTGGGCAAGGCTTCGCCAAAAGCTTTTTAAAGAATCAAGTAAATTATTCCCACAGACTACTTTATTTAATCTTTTTGCTAACATTTTCTACTAACGCTAAGAAATATTTTGCAAAGCTTCAATGATGTTATCACTTCAGGTACATAAAGATGCTTTAAAAACTATTTGGAATTAGCATTATAATGTATCTATTGATATGAAAGAATAATTTAGATTTTACACAAAATTATAGAAAGAATAATTTAGATTTTACACAAAGTATATGTGTAAAAATATAGATTTTACACATAGTTATAATGCACCTATAGTATAGGTGCATTAAGGAATCAGAAGAATGAAGTACTCAAACACTTGAGAAAGATTTACTCTTCAGAGTAAACTGGCAAACAGCAGCACTCACAGTGCCAAGATCAGATTAACAGCTTTAAGTCTCAAGCAATGCCTTCTGAATGTCACTTACATGTTGTCGTAACGTAACAATGATCAGAATTCAAATGGCAATTGATCTGTTTTGCTCTTATCTAACCCAGTCTGTGAAAAGTACTGTTTTTGACTTCTAGCTGATCTGTACGTTATCAGAACTAGGTACATTCCCAGGTAAACAGACTGAAGAGATAATCCCAACAGATCATCTCTAAACACACATACATTGCTTTATCTACTTCCCACAGAGAACCAGGGAATCTGGTAATTCTCAGCCTGCAACCACAGGCTGAGAAGAATCTGTCTGCTTGGCAATGCAGAGAACAGAAATGAGGAAGACTTCAGATGCCATCCTCTAAACCAAACTGACACATGTGAAGCCTTCCACTCTTTGCTGTAGGTTTACCTTTCCGTATGGCTTCCAGCAGAACGCTCCTCGCATCGCTGATGACGGGGAGAGTTGAGGGGTGGCGCTTGGGTTCAGGAGCAGGGACCACTTGGGACGGTGGGGACGGAGGCATTAGTGGGGTGTGAGGGCCAGGGACAACAGCTGTGGGAGGAGGGTGCAAGACGGGTGGAGGGTGAGAAAGGGCTGCGACCGTGACAGGGGAGGAGGGCAGAAAGCCAGGGGGAGGCAGGGGAGGAGGCGGCGGCGGCGGTGGCAGCCCCTGCGCTTCCCCTTGAGGGCCTGGGTGAACTGGTCCAGCTTCGCACACCGGGGCAGCCCTGGTGACGGGGGGCGAGGGCTGCGCGAGCGGAGGGGCGACGGGCGGCGGGGCCGGGTGCAGCACGCCCGGGGCG